GTGTAGTTTGGCGCGGGGTATTTCCGATAACTGTTCGTTTATTGTGATATTTGCGAGCCTTACATAACAAGCGATGTGCAAACTCCTCTTCTCCGAATAGTGCCTGTCACGGGGTGTGGGCGCGATTACGAATTTGGAACGAATCAAGTGAAACATTTCTCACCTCCGCATTATGGTATATCTTGGTGCGCCAAACAAATTTTCGAAGTATTGAGATCGATATAAAAGACGATGTTGGAAAAAAATACCATTTGAATCCGGCACGTTAACGGTGACTTTACATTTTAAACGTATTGATTAGATTTTTAAAAATACTCGGTAAATATTTTTTCGATAAGAAAGAAGGGGTTTGTTCATTAATATGGATTATTATGCGGAGTATTATAACGAATTACAAAACGGTGGAACTCACGGCGGTGGAATTCCACGAATTTTTGTCGGTTCACCCTATCAACGCGGTCATAGAATAGGTAGTTTTCTCGGAGGAATGTTCAAACGTGTATTGCCTTATTTAACTAGAGGTCTAGGGGCAGTGGGTAAAAAAGCTTTGCGGGCCGGGGTTAATATAATCGAAGATGTTGAAAATAAAATGCCGTTAAAGGTAGCAGTCAAACATCGTTTTGAACAATCACGTAACAATCTTAAGAGAAAAGCTAGGGAAAAAATAAGTAGTCTAATGAAAGGTACGGGATATAAATCAGATGAAAAAATTCATGTAGCGCAGTTTTCTTTCGGTGGGCTTAAGACTCACGTCGCTAAATTCTCGCTAACCGCGTCGCGTAAACGGCGTAAGACAAGTAAGAAAAAAAGTTTATCGAAAGTCAAGTCGCGTGGGAAAAAAGAACGAATACAAAAAAACTAAAAATAATACAAAAAAAAATTGTTTGACTGTAAAAAGACTCAAGTCGTCCGCGAAACGGCGTAAAGCTGGTAGCGGTAAAAACGCACAGTATACGATATATTTTCATAAGCGCCATTATTCTAAATACGTTTGTCTGTGACAATAACGTTCGTAGAGCGGGCGGAGATAGAAAAAAATGTCATTTCTTCACACACACTCGAGCGAGTGTTTAAAGAGCGAGCTCGATCTCTTCTCTTTACCGCCTACACAAATTAGCATCGAAAGTTCGCAATGGATTCATTACAAATCCGTGACCTCGCTTTCGAACGACTCCCCGCTAGAATTCGTCATCCCGGGTCACGGAGAAGAATATTTAGATCTCACACACACGTTACTAAGTTTTCGGGTACGCGTAGAAACCGAGCCGCTACCCGGTCTCGCCGCATGCCGCCGTCAACGTGGGCCCCGTAAATCATTTTCTTCATTCCATCTTCAATCAAATCGACGTGTATTTCAATCAAAAGCTTGTGTCGCCTCCAAACAACGCTTATGCGTATCGCGCGTACATCGAAGCGTTGTTAAATTATTCATCACCCGCAAAAACTTTACATCTAACCTTGTGCTTATGGGACGCGGATACACCTGGGCACATGGACGATACGGTAGGAGCGGAAGGCAATACCGCTATAACGAGACGAGCTCGTTACATACGCGGAGGGCGAGCGCTAAATCTTATAGGTCACCTCCATTGCGACGTTTTCAATCAGGACAAATTTTTAATTAATAGCGTCGAGGTGCGGTTGAGACTTGTGCGTTCAAAAGATACGTTTTGTTTCATAAAAAGTAATTGCACGTCAAAAATTTATATACTCTATGCAAGCCTATTGGTGAGAAGAGTGAAAATAAGCTCCGGAGTATTACTAGCGCATGCTAGAATGCTGAGCAAAGTTACAGCCAAGTATCCGCTTACGAGAGTTGAAATTAAAACATTCACGATTCACAGCGGGGTTGTGGGTGAATCGTTAAATAATGTAATACTGGGACAATTACACGAATAATAGTAGGTTTCGTCGATAATAAAGCGTTTAACGGTGACAGAAAATTGAATCCGTTTAATTTCCAAAATTACGGAATAAATTTCTTCTCGCTATACGTCGACGGTACACAAATACCCAGTAGACCATTACAACCGGTTTTCTCGTCTCGCGAACCGCTTTACATCGAAACTTATCATACGCTCTTCTCAGGGACGGGTATCCATTTTTGAACGAGGGAAATTCCATAAGTAATGATGATTATTCTCAGGGATATACGTTATTCGCTTTTGATCTTACACCCGATCTGTCCGCTAATTGCGCCGGTCATTGGAATCTCGTGAGACACGGAAGTCTACGGTTAGAAGTGAGATTCGAGAAGGCATTCACCGAAACAATTAATTGTATCGTTTACGCCAAATTCGATAATGCCATAGAAATCGACACATTGCGTCAAGTTATCGTCGATTTTTCCGGTTAGCTTTTAACGCTCGTTTACTAGCATGTATTCATACACCGTAATGTAATACGCGATTAGAAAATTTTCCCTTTCCTCTTCTTTTGGAAATTTCGATGACGCTTTTCACGAAGTGGAAACTATGTAACGTGCTAGAATGAATTCAGTTTTGTACGAGACACGAACGAACGCTCACGTTTTGCTAAGAGCTTGTACCTCACCAACGAAAATCTCGCAATATGGACATAGTCGTCGACATACAAGGTTTCCGCGATGAAACCAATAAATTTATTGCGAAGGAAGTCGCCGTTGTCGCAATCGATGCTCCGATTGTCGAACATTGGATTATGATGCCACCATACGCGTTTGGAAAATTACCCGCAAAAGCAAGACGAGAAAACAATTAGCTCTCACGAAATTATCACGGTATCGAGTAGTTCGACGGCACAGTTAATCCAAAATATTTTACCTCACATCTCCGCGAAATTGCAAGACATGCACTCTGCATTTACATCAGAGGTAACGAAAAAGCAAACTACTTGAGGAATTTACTTTCCAGAGATATAAGTAATTTGGAGAGTACCTTGCCAGCATTTAAAAATCTACCGGATGAGAAAGATACCGTACAAAATTGCGGCCATTACGGGATTCGAAAATTCGGAACCTTCCATTGCGCGTTATACACTGTTTATAAATTAATGTTGGCTAAGTGCGCAAAATAATTGCGAGAACGTTTCGATCGCTACTGAAGCTACTTGTAGTTCTGACGAAAGTTGGGATATCACCTTCGACGACAACGACGATAAATACGAGGCTACCGTTTCTTGCGATGTAAATGAGAATATAACTAAAATACAAATAGAGGAGAAAAATCAAACGCGTAATCAAATAGAGAAGAAAAATCAGCAAAACAACAAACAGCAAATTGAAAAAGAAGAAGAAGAAGAGAGATTTGTGATTTCTGAATCGTCATCGACGTTGACGGATAGAAACAAGAACGAAACAATTTCCATCTCGACGCAAACTGACATTGAAAACTTCTCAAAACAACTCAAGATAGAAGAAAACACATTATCTAAAGAGGCAAAAGCTGGCATTGTTCAAATAATACTGTACAATCGTTCGTATTTGGGACAAAAAAATGAACTCTCGCGAAATTCTACAAGCATTGCGTCATCTCGATGCCAGACATGTTGGAGTCTATGCAGACGACAGAGTTCCGAGGGTGTAGACGAGGTTGACGGCTATCGTCCCTAACACCAACAATTACGATCGACCTGGAGAACATTGGATCGCCTTCTACCTCGATGAACACGGCACAGCCACTTACTTCGACAGCTACGGATTGCCCCCCTTGTATCCAGGATTTCTCATCCAACTTCGACGAAACTCCATCATCTATTGCTGGAATTTTCAGCAATTACAAGGAATTTTTTCTAAAACTTGCGGACATTACAGCTTTGTATTTTTATATTATATGTGCAACGGTTATAATCTTAATCAGTTTCTTGCTCTTTTTTCCGAAGATTGTGAATATAACGATTGTTTAATCATACACTTAGTTCGTAAAATTTTTGCTCACAAAAAACAAGCGAATCATAACAATATATAATATGAATTTTGGTATCAATAAATGAATTTTGTTCTGTAAAAATATTTGAAATATAAATCATTTGTACTTTTAAAACCATTGTTCGATTTTCTTTCACTTCTTCTTTCCAGAAATTTCCTCAATATGCATGTTCCTGTTCACCTTCATCAAGCCGCGCGTTATTTTTAAATAAAATTTTATTTACCATATTTTCAACCATAAGCATTCTTTCTAATCTACGATGACAATTATTTTTACCGCGACACGAGTCAGTATGCTCGCCTAAACAAGTATTTGCCTGTTTTTTTTTTATTACCCTACGGCATCGTCAGCCACCACCTGCCACCGACAGTTGATCCCTGTTCGACCGTATGATGCTTTTCTTGGTCAAATTGTTTTTACCCCACCCCGTCCAATATCGGCTATTTGATTCGACGAACTATCCTTGCCAAACGTATACCCGAACCTACATACCGTCCTCTACGCAACTTTAGCTTAAATGGCTCATCTAATCCTTAGACTAGTAAGATCTCGTTTAGCTCAGCATACTAAAACTCTGCTCGGAAACGCGAAGGTCCCGGGTTCAAATCCAGAGAAAATCAGAAAAATAAAAAATTCTTATCCCTCTTCTCCCCCGCCTTTCGGGGCCAGTCGCCATTTTTTTCCTCTCAACACCCGTAGTCGGAAAAACCAGACGCTGGTGGTGGGGAAAGATAAGCCATGCCCACGCCGCCAGAGGGGCCTGTGGTGGGGGTTTGTTTTGACGGGCCATACCTGCCACTATACGAGTACTATTATAGTGGTTCCTTTTAAAAAAATTGGAGTGACCTTGACCTGACCTTAAAAAAGTCAAGGTTAAGTCTACTTATGTGTCCTCTTCAAAATTATATATTAAAATGCATTATTTAAAATGGGACACTCTGTATAGAAAATTGTTCAATATATCTGTTTGAATAAATATATAGTGATTTTTATCTGATGTACTTTACCGGAAATTGTATCGCTCTGTCTTCAACGAACTTCTCATCAATAAACGTAGCAAATTCTTGCTCTTCTATCTGCTCATCATTATTCGATGATGTAATGGACAAAGCCGGCTTAGCGTAATTACGCTTTATTAATTTCGGAATTACATCTACGGGTTTAACATTCATTCGAATGGCCTTCAAGTCAGAATAAAATTGCTTCAGTTTCTCTTCCGTCCATCTAGTTTCTCGTATACAAATGTCTATCGGTTTAGGCTTGTGTTTCATCACTTTCGGCTCTTTGATGGTTGGTAACCAGTTGAGGGTTGTACCTTTCTTTTCTCCTTTTAAACAATAATTTTGTACAGAATTACCCAGATAATAAGCATACCTCATTTCGACGTTTAATGACGTTAGTTTGCTACTTGGGATATGAGACGTTTTATTTAAAAATTTTGAATTGGAAATCGATGTCAAAGTGACGTCATTTTGACGTTTAATGACGTCAGTTTGTTACCTGGGATACTATACTCGTTTAAAGGACATGAAAGAAGAAATTTTTTGCGTAAACCAACTATTAATACGTTGACCATTCAGAAGTTATATTTAGGGTCAAAAGTTTGAAAAAGACCAATTTCAATAAATTGTTACTACATTTGGAAATTTTCGTTTTTTTAGTCCTTTTCATAAAGGATTCAGATTTGATCTTGTGGTCTTTTTTAAGTTTAAAAAATTCAAGCAACTTGTTAAATTCACGTCTTGGATTGCTTTATCGATAAGTATTTTGTAAACGCATCTTGTATATGAAAATTAGGATCACTACTATAGATGATTATATATACTCACGATCGGTAAAGCTTTCACTTAAAAATCGCTTCTGCAACATTTCGTGTCGTTTTTGAGAATATTCAATTATATCAGGTTTGCAAGATTGATTATCATGATACTTTTTATATAATTTTCGCAGATTTCGTTTAAGATTATGTCTAATAGTACTGACTTGGTCGTCTCGATGTTTCCCCAGTTTGTTATAGAGTCTATTGAAATGATTTTTTATTTTCTTTTTATTTTGCGACTCACGACTTTGCAAAACATTTTTCATCAGATTTAATCGCAAATCCATTATGAATTGGATTTCCTAAAATTATTATATGTGTATTATTACCCAAATAGCAAACTGATGTGATTATAAACATCAAAATGACGTCATTTTAACATCGAATAACGACATTAGACGTTAAAATGACGTACGCTTGCTATACTATGGGTATTTATATCGTTAAAAAGAAAAATAATAACTATAACATTAAGAGGAAGTCATTTTTCTATTTAAATTCTATTTAATTCTATTTAAAATACCTACCGCCTCACGAAATGCCCATTTATCTATTTCTAAAATTGTTATTATCGAATTTCGCAGCTTTATATTAGCCGGCGTATCCATTGGTGGAAGAATACTTTCCCAAGCTTTTTTCATCTGCATTCTATTGATAATATGTATTTCATGGATACCCGCAGGTAATCCATGCTTCCAAGTTAAATGATCCAATGTCAATATTTCAGGATTGTGACCTATTAGATAGAAATTAATTATAATTTTTATTAAAGTTTCCGGAACCATTTCTTCCCTAGCCAGAAACGAATGATCAAATTGACGTCGAATCGATGTCGATTCGACATCGATTTATCTAATCAACGTTGATTCAACGTTAATTCAACGATGAATCGACGTCAATTTGTCGTCGAATTAATGTCGATTTGATATCATTTATGGCTGAGTCGATTTTGTTTCTTTCTTGCATTTTATTTTTGCGCCATGTGTGATTTTGAATTTTTCAATAAATTATTCCACAAATTAAATACGTATAATGTTATATTCCAGAAAACAAGCGTCTTAATGTAGCAAATTGACGTCATTCTGACGTCTAATGACGTTATGTGATGTCAAAATGATGTACGTTTGCTATCTGAGTATAAGTATAGTAAATAACGGTATTATAATAGATATCAAAATGATGTCACTTTATCGACTAATGACATCATCGACGTCAAAATGACATACTTGCTATCTGGAATACGTCAAATGATGTGAATTTGCTAATTGGAATGTTGTTGACCTGAAACAATTTTATATGGTGGTTCCCAGGATTCGGTTTGAGCTTCACTTTCTCTATAAACCGTTTGCGTTCTTGCATTTTTGCGCGCCTCCGATTTAAGTGACACAGTATCACAATGTCGTCTTTGCGAATTTTCTTGTAAAATTCCGCTTAAAACCCTGTATTTCAAATAATGCGGAATGTCCGCAGTATATATCTCAGGTACTATCGGTCTCTGATAATGTTTACACATTCTATCTTCGTTCGTAATTTTTGTCTTACTTCGTATGGCCATGTTTTCTATAAATCCGAAAATTAATAATAAATATATAGAAATCTCTCGATATATGTATAAAATATTATTTTCTGTATATATATACATATACAGACAATAATATTTTGAATTAGAAGTAATATAGAATTATTTGTAAAACAAAAAAAAATATTTACTCAACATCCCAGATATCCCAGAAAAGATAAGGATGCTCAAGCAATGTATAAATAAAATGCTAGCAATTGATGTTGGTTATTTGCTAAGAATATAAATTAATGTTTGAATAGTTAAGTATAGTTAGCATAACGTTACCATTTTGTCGTAATCAAATGTTCTGCTAAAGAAGAGACATATTGAATAAGCATATTGTTAACAAAAAGTTAGCATATAATGTTTTCAATTTGCTAACAGATATAAATATGTTGCTATCATTATGTCAGCATTAATTGTCAACATTTATTTAATTCTAATGCCAGCATAATGTTTAAAACATGCAAATGTTTTATTTCCGACATCAAATGCTAGCAAACAACAGCATAATGGACGACGTAGATGCGTAGCAAGATGTTAACATCTTTATTAGCAACATGAAAGCAACTTGTGTTCACACTGGTTATCTGGGATTGAAAGAATAACTATATATATTTAATTTATATATTTAATATTTTATATATTTAATATATATATATATATATATATATATATGTAATATTTTTTTAAAAATTGTCGTTATCTTGAAATACCTTTTGTGAAGATTTAGAAGATATCTTCTAAAATAAAATATAAGAACAAATATATAATAATTTAATTTATTAGTTTATTAATATTTATTATATAATATTAATTTATTAATATTTAATAATTCAGAAAAAGAATGATATATGCACATATTATAAATTTATTGAAATTTTAAAATATTAAAAATATATTTTATTAATTTTAAAAACTATTTACCAGTGTAGCACTCTTATGAGCATTTAATAATCTGAAATGATAATTGCTGCAGCATATAATATAAGCATGATTTGCTAATGCATTATAAAAAATAAATTGTCACTTTTTATTAACCACTATGTGATACTATAGACAACACAAGTGCGCGCTACGCGCGCGCCATTAATTTTATATGCTTTGATTTAATATTATTTAGAACAACTGTCAAACTATTAACTTTCGCACAAACTATTAACCTTCGCAATGACAGGTGTTTTTGATATAAATATAACATATTATGCAAACCGGGACAACCAATCAGCAACGCGGAAAAGCGGCAACAATACATGCCAGAATCGACTTTGCATGTCTTTTTTACAAAAGGACTAGACAAGACAAGCGCGCGCCATTGGTTTTATATACTTTGATTTGATATATATTATTTTGAACAACTGTTAAACTATTAACCTTCGCAATGACAGCTGTTTGATTTGAATATAACACACAATGCGAATCGAGGCAGCCAATCAGCAACGCGGAAAAGCGGCAACAATACATGCGAGAATCGACTTTACATGCCTTTTTTACAAAAGGACTAGATAATACAAGCGCGCGCTTCGCGCGCGCCAAACAAATTATTGAATTTTAACGCATAATAGAAATATGCTTTAGAAAATACAGCAGTTTAAACAAAACTGTCAAAGATAAATTTTTTCAAATTTCAAAATTTTGAAATTCTGCTTTGTACATGGATGTAACATTCGCAGGCGAATGTCCCGAACCATAAGAAACGATTCTAAACACGACTGAGCATGTATATTTGACATATCTTAAAGCTTGTCACTTTTTAAATTTTTCACTTCAACATCGAAATCGATCTATCTTCGCTTAAAGACTTTGAACGCACTTGAAAATGTATTTTTAATATATATTAATGTGAATCTGACAGCTGACTATAAAGAATTAATTTTTTTAATACCAAAAATGATAGTACGTCTATCGCTCGCGTCGTCAGTGGAAAAATCAAAAATTCAAGTTTTTCCCCAAATTGAAAATAACGCAAATCCAAATCAGCAGTCTTATTAAGAATCGTTTATAGATGTGAGAAGTGAATTTCGTTTCGCTTGTAGTTGCACACTTTAAAAAATACAGCAGTTTAAACAAAACTGTCAAAGATGAATTTTTTCAAATTTCAAGATTTTAGATAAAACAGTCTAAAAAATAATTATTTAAATAAACATTACTTTTAAGCAAAATTATCACTTTGACCTACATTCGTTTAAAAAAAATTAAAAATTATATTGTAAAAATGTATTTACATAACTTATATATGTATATATTTTTTAATACAATATTACATTTACATTTCTAATTTAAATTAGATTAGATTTCTAATTAAAAATTGCTTTTCTAAATAAATAAAATGTTGCTTCAAACTTTAAACTAAAATTTACCTACTATAAATTTCGTTTTTAAGTTTAAAATTTATTTTTCTGATTATAAAATGCAGTTTTCTTTGTTAGAGAATAAAAAATTAATTAAAATTATTCACGAGAGTAATAAATAAATTATATATATATATATACATATATATATATATATATGCATAATACATATACATAAAAAATTTTTTGAATTATCAAGAGACACGGTAGTGTCTCGCGACCAGTTAAGGGCGTAGCGGAGACACCGTGTATCTTAACGCGAGTCGGACATTTGAGTCTTTATAATATTTCGAATCCTCAATAATGGCTGAAGCAATCGAGTTTATACTAGACTTAATCGATAGATTGAGTTCGAATTATATAATAAAAGTGTCTTTATTTCTGCTCTACGTGATTTGTAAGCAGAGATATATAAATGCAAAGTCGAAATATGAAAAATTTCTATTAAGAAACGTCCCCGTCATCATTATCATCATTATCATCATTATCATCATCATTATCATCATCGACCACGCATACATAGTAGTATCGTGCTACACGTATTCACACGTATACAACACATGCGCACACATATATCACACGTACACAACACATGCAAGATGCATGTAGTGGTAATTTTGTCCATCTCGCACGTTTTACAACAGATGGCGATAGTGGCGCTCCGCCATATCGGCAGCGTGCGGGGTTATGTTGGCTAACTCTCTCTCTCTCTCTCTCTCTCCTCTCTCTCTCTCTCTCTCTCTCTCTCTTTCTTTCTCACACACACACGCACACACACACACACTCTCTCATTCTCACTCACTCACTCACTGTTCGTCTTGTGTACTTATTTAGTACATTCATGATCGGCAGCGTGCGGGGTTATGTTGGCTAATTCTCTTTCTCTCTCTCTCTCTCTCTCTCTCTCTCTCTCTCTCTCTTTCTCACACACACACGCACACACACACACACTCTCTCATTCTCACTCACTCACTCACTGTTCGTCTTGTGTACTTATTTAGTACATTCATGATTAAACATCTATATGCATTAATGTGAAATTTACTTACAATTAGTTTACTTGAAATATTCAATCTCTAAAGTGTTTATCTTATAAGATAGACAAAAAAATCTGAGTAAATAATAAGAAAAAAAAACAAGGATTATTATTGTCATAATTTTTTATCAATTAAGTACTCTCAACTATCCAATAATTAAATAAATACGTACAAATGTGCGCGCGTGTACACACATACACATATTGATATTAAAGAGATTGAAGGAGAGGAAGGAGAAGATAAAAATTTAAATATTCACATATATTTTCAAATATTATATATGAATTTATAGTTTACATATCTAATTAATAATGAATTTCTAATTATATTAAACATATCAAAATAAAGACATACATGTATTTATCAAATGAATAAAATTATTGAATACAGACTTAAAAAATTTATTAAACATAGACTTAAAAAATTAATTAATTAAACATATTCCAAATTTAGAAAAAATAAACTTTATTTATATATGCAACAGCTTTTTAAACTAAATTTTTAAATTCTATTTTATATTAGACAATTATCTCAATCAACATCTACGTCCACATTAGCTGCACTGCAGACTACCTCTACAGCCACATTATCTGCTCCGCGGATATAGCGTTATGCCAATACGATACATTACATGTACTTACTTACTTGCCTTTACTGTACCAACTCTTGTTCTTTCCACGTAATCATGTTTTTACAGTTATCGTTTGCTGTATATCTTCCAGCAAACTTTATTTCGTGTGAAGTGTATTTAATTAATTAAATCTCTGCGAAAGATTGAGAAGATGAAGGGATAATTCAAACTATGAAGACATGGTTACATGGAAAAGACAAGAGTTGATACAATAATAAAGACATACATGTATTTGTATCCTGCTGGCATAAGGTTATAGAAGTTGATTGAGATTGAAAAATAATAATGAAAATAATAAAAAAAATAAAGACACATGTATTTGTATCGTGCTGGCATAAAGTTATAAAAGTTGATTGAGATTGAAAAATAATAATAAAAATAATTAAAAAAAGGAAATATTCAATCATCATTTAAAAGCATATTTGAAATCTGTAGAATAAACAGTTTTTGCAAAAAATGTGGAGCATTTGAGCTCTAGTAAGTCTAAAAATAAATGTAAACATCAATTAATAATAACTGATGTTATATATATATTATATATATAAACCAATTTGTTGCAATATTCACTATAAAAGGTTGTAAGGGTAAGATGGCTAAAAGTGAATAATTTAAAAGATAGTTAACATAATTTTACATAAACTGAAATATTTCATAAAATAAAATATTTGTAATATTTCGAAGTTTATGTAAGATTATGTAAAAATTATACCTTTACAACTTTTTATAGTAAATATTGCGAGGAATCGATTTATATGAGAAAAATTAAGGTAATTCTATTTTGAAAATATAAGTGACCTTTAAATAACCTTGAAAATCGCCGTTTAGGAAAAAGTCTGTGTCAACTTTTTTTTTTCGAAATCCTGCAACTTTTATCTAAATTTAATAGAAAATGTATAAAAAATGCTCGACATTAGTACACACACACACACACACACACACACACACACACACACACACATATGGGTAAATTTATATAAATA